AGTGATGTCCTGTCTATGGGCAATGTGTGGTGTAAATATTATGCAGAAAATTTGGAGTGTGGAAATTAGAAGGTGTGGAGTTAAAAGTATTAGTCAGAGGGCTAATTAGGGGTTGTTGAGGTGGTTTGGTCATTTAGAGAGAATGGATCGAAGTAGAATGACATGAACAGCATATAAATCTGTAGGGGAAGGAAGGCGGGGTAGAGGTTGTCCTTAAAAAGGTTGGAGGGAGGGGGTAAAGGAGGTTTTGTGGGGAAGGGGCTTGGATTTCCAGCAAGCGTGCATGAGCGTGTTAGATAGGAGTGAATGGAGACAAATGGTTTTTGGGACCTGACGAGTTGTTGGAGTGTGAGCAGGGTAATATTCAGTGAAGGGATTCCAAGAAACCGGTTATTTTTATATAGCCAGACTCAAGTACTGGAACTGGGAATGTCAATGCCTGCACTTTGAAGGAGGGGTTTGGGATATTGGCAGATTGGAGGGATATGTTATATATCTTTATACATATATGCTTCTAAACTGTTGTATCTGGGTGCCTCTGCAAAAAGTGATTTGTACGAGTGAGGTGAAAGTGTTAAATGATGATGAAAGTTTTCTTTTTGGGGATTTTTTCTTTCTTTTTGGGTCACCCTGCCTCAATGGAAGACAGCCAACTTGTTGAAAAAAAAATGCATCTGCAATGCAAACATGTTCTCAGAAACATGCAACCAACCATCATGTAGTTTTTCTCATTTTAACACACCGGCCGTCTCCCGCTGAGTGTGACAATCCCCCCCCCCCCAAAAAAAAAAAAGTGCGCTCTGATACTACAGTTCGGATGCTCCTCCAAACAGCAAATATTCCCATCCCTCTTTTAGAGTGCAGGCACTGTACCTACCACATACAGAACTTGAGTCTGGTTAATCAATTTCCCTGAATCCTTTCACAAAATGTTACCTTGTTCAAACTCCAACAGTATGTCAAATCCCAAAACTATTTGCTTCCATTCACTCCTATCTAACATGCTCACACAAGCCTGCTGGATGGCCAAGCAGCTTGCACACAAACCTCCTTTACCTCCTCCCTCCAACCGTTCCTAGGATGACACCCTGAATTCCCTTCACTACAGATTTATAAGCACTCCAAGTCATCCTATTTTGCTTCATCTCTCAATGTCCAAACCATCTCAACAACCCCTCCTCAGCCCTCTGGATAATATTTATAGTAACCCCACACCTCTTCCTCCTAATCTCCAAGATACAAATTCTCTGCATAATATTTACACCACACACTGTCCTTCGAAAAGATATCTCCACTGTCTACAGCTTCTCACAGCAGCATTCACAACCCATGCTTCACAACCTCAAAAAAAGGAGAAAAACTATAATAAAATAAATATACAAGGAAAGAATCTGAATGATTCAGATAAATAAAAATGTCCAACAAAGTTAATGAAAAGATAAGGAAACAAAGTAAAAATAATGAACATTGCAGTCCTCATTAGACAATGATCATTTTGAAAATACAGTAGACACTTTCTTGAATAATGTGACTCCCTACAGTGCTAATTTAGCAACACATGGTTGAAAAACTGCACTCTGCACTTCAATTTGCATTTACATTCCCTCTAAGTAACTGCAGTAATCACTGGTAGGCTAGCAGTGATCATGCGGCAAGAAATTTTCCCTCCATGCCAATGGGCAAGGTCACTTTTTATAAAGAAGGAACTGCATCATCTTTTGCCAGCCCAACCACACTGCCTCAGCTGCTTTGTGAAAGTGTGCTGTGACTGACCCAATGTCTTGAACGAGCTAATCTGGAAATCATCACCCCATCTCATCTCTGGATATCAATCATATCACCCAAATGAAAAACTGTGTAGTGAATGGTATGAATGTGTGTCAAGTGATCACATTGTCAAAGGAAATCTTCCCTGCAAAGTTTACAAATTGTGTAGGTAATGTACAGTATGATCTTAATTGCAGCACTGTTGTCAGTTCTTATGCATACTGAGTTTGCTTCCCAGTTTCTATGGAAGGAGTACACACTTAAATGAGTCAGCAACTAGTTTTTCCCAGGCAGATGGTGGTATAGTAAATAATTGTACAGGTTTTGCACAAGGCCACATTACCTTCAATGTAACTTTTTTATACCAATGTTGACCAGTAGTTGAAGATGTGTGTACATGTATTGTACAGACCATATTAACTTTCTCCACACATCAACAAGCAACAGCAACCACAATTTAACCTTTTGACTGTCGCAAGCCCCTTTCTGAAACTGTCATTCTATGTCGCAAAATTTTTGGAAAAAAAAAAAAATTATTTTTTCTTATGAAATGATAGAGAATCTTTTCCCGATGGTAATGACACCAAAAGTACGAAATTTGGTCGAAAACTCATGGACCTACGCTCCCATGAAGTTAGAGGTCTCGGCGACATATACGCATCGGTGACTTCGCCAACTCTGAGCCCTGTTTTTGGCCAATTCCATTGTTCCAGTTGACCAAACTCATATCTATTTCTTTAGAATTCAATTTTTTTCTATCAGCTGAGTACAAGAAACCACCCATTTACCGATCTGAACTACCCAATAAAGTGGTCAGAAATTGGCAATTTGGCCAATTTCACGCAAATTAAAAAGATGCCAATTTCAAAATAGGGTCCAGAATAAACAATGTAGACATTCTTGGCACTAAAATAACATCCTCTGTTCATTAGTCACATTTCTAGGCCCCTCTTAAATTACTACTGCTTTCTATTTTGATTTTTTATTCATACAAAAAATACAATATATACTGTTATGCAGACTACTGCATTATTGTAAAAATGGTATAAATAATATCAGTACACTAGTGAAAGAATATTAGACCCCCAGCTGACGTGTATTGGACGTGTGGTGTGATTTGCTTACTCCTGAACACTGGTAAAAAATCGAACATTTCCGCTACTTTGAGCTCAATTTCAAGGTTGTTTTCATCGTGAAACTAATCAAAATCATCTCTATTTCTGTAATATGTTTTCCATTTTATCACTTGAGACCATGAAAACTAGAATACAACGTTAAATACTATATGAAAATACACCTCAAATTCAGCATTTTAATCCAAAATAGCGGTCAGCTTTTTTTTTTTTTTCTCATTATGCACTGCGTGCTGCAGGATTTTTTTACGTGGTGCACACTGACCACACAGACCCATTCTCTCAAAAGTGGGCCTACCAGCTTCCTCCTGCTTGATTTGAAGCCGCTAGAATTTATGCGTATTAATACAGTGGACCCCCGCCTTACGAACGCATCGAGTTACGTTAAATCCACCATACGAAGCATTTGAACGCAAAAATTTTGCCTCGCCTCATGATAAAAAACTCGCCTTACGTGATTCGTCCAGGACGCGTCCCACGTGTGGCCTCAGCACCAGTGTTTACAAGCCAGCCAGTGCAGTCCCATCTACGCATACATTTGGTGCATTTCACATTATCCCAGTGTTTTTAGTGCTTGTAACTGCAAAATAAGTCACCATGGACCCCAAGAAAGCTTCTAGTGCCATCCCTGTGGTAAAAAGGGCGAGAATTGGTATGGAATTGAAAAAAGAGATTAAGGAAATGTGTGCAAAGTGGGTTGAACTGCAAACCTTTATGGATGAAAATCACCCTGACACAGCTACTGCAAGCCGTGATGGCAACCTGTACAATGACAGTGTTATGGCCCATTTTAGGAAAGTCTTAAAGGAACGGGAGGTACAGAGCTCTATGGACAGATTTGTTGTGCGACAAAGGTCCAGTGACTCTCAAACTGGTCCTAATGGCATTAAAAGAAGAAGGGAAGTAACCCCAGGAAAGGACTTGCTACCTCAAGTCCTAATGGAAGGGGATTCCCCTTCTAAACAATAACTTCCACACTCTCCCCTCCTCCCATCCCATCAATCATCACCAGATCTTCAATAAAGGTAAGTGTCATGTATTCTATTTTTAGTAGAGTAGTAATTGTGCATGTCTTCTTTGGTTTGTGTGTATTAAAATTAATATTTCATGTGGTAAAAAAAATTGTTTCATACTTTGGGGTGACAGGAAAGGATTAATTTGATTTCCATTATTTCTTATGGGGAAAATTAATTCGGCTAACAATAATTTCGGCTTACGATGAGCTCTTGGGAACGGATTAATATCGTAAGGCGGAGGTCCACTTGTATGTCCAAAACACTGGCTCGTAAGACGTATATATACGACCAAAACAGTCAATGAATTAAGGAAAGATGAAGTTGTTTCTTTTGACTTTTTAAGCTACTGCATTTTCAAAAAAATGTGTTGACGTTTCGAGGAATTTCAAGGAACGAAATTATTTTTTCCCCATGTTTTTTTCACTTTGAGGGAACATAACCCTCACATTACTTTAGGGTCTACTCTATTCGGCAGATTGCAATGAAATGTGGTTTGCAAGTTAATGAATGAAATGCATAATTTAACAAAAATGATAAAACATATATTAATGTGTAAAAGATGCATATGATGATTAATGAAATTACTTTAAAGCAGAAGTCTGTGATTCATAGACAGTTACATACATACATACATTAGTGTATAACAAAAGAAATATGAAAAATATTATAAAAACCTAAAGCATACATAGGATACATTGCAAGAAAAAGTAGAATGCATTAAGAATGGTAACTGAGATGATAGTAAAGTAATAAAATTAATGAAATGTAGCAGTGATGATAAACATAATTTAGCAGCCCAAAGAAATAAAATAAACAATCATATATACTCAGCAAGTAGCATGAGGAGACATGATAGGCTAATGTTGTTTAAGACAAAACTTATGTCAAAACTGAATGACAATAAACAGTTTAAAATTTAGGAATTATAGCTCAGAAACTTATTCAGGAATAATTTGTTTGAAGCAACTCAATATGGGAATTAATAAAATTGCAAATACAATGAAAATGTTATTAAGGCTTTGTTTAAGTTATTTTATTTCAAGCTGAATACATGTAACACACAGGTATAGTACATGTTCAAGCCATAATGCAAGAGGTATCAATACCAACCATAGTGATTGATGACCCTAATGCAAGACTTCATGATGAGTGGTATATCCTGACCAGTTGCCTCCAGGTACTCCTCTAATGACCCACCAAACAGCTTAGGCTGACCCATTAGAGGATTCCGTCCAATGCGACGACGGCGAGGTTTGTTCACAAGGTTTCTGAATTGGTACATACATGTTAATTACTATCAACTGAGTTTTTAGAACCATATATTACATGAAGCATGTAAGCCAAATGAAAAATTATCAATATAAAATGTTTACCTAGTCGGTGTAGGAGAGGAGGTGGTCTGCGTTTCATCACCAAGAGCCTTTCGCATGAGTTCATACCGAGCCTGTAGTCGAGTGATCAGGTTGCTACCAAGGGTATATTCACGAAATTTCTGAAAAAAATAATCTGAGAATAAATTCTCATACACTGAGGACAGATAAGCCAGACAAAAAGAGGAAAACATACACTATCACTCATTCAACTGCTGTCTTGCCAGACGTGTGCTGGCATCACAGTTCAGATGGCTCTTCAAAGAGTAATATACTCGCCCCTCCTTTAAGTGCAGGCACTCCAGATAACCAGTTTCCTTGAATCCCTTAAAAAATGTTACCTTGCTCACACTATACATGAAGTTGCAAAAATAACTTGCCTCCATTTATTCCGAGTGTAGGCAGCCACATACTAGTATGTATGTGTGAATACTTGAAATTTATCAAAACAATAAATAGCATGTGAAGCAGTCATAAAACTTTCCCAGATTGGCCAATCTGACAAGTCTGTATAGTACAGATAAGTTTAAAAATTGCCACTGTTAGGTATAAACATCTAATGTAATTAACATTAAATTTTTTTTGAAGACAGGATCTAAAAATAAGTAAACCACAAAACTTTCAGAAAATTTGCTCTAAACACTTTATGGGCCAGTACTTTTAACAGAGACTATTCAGCACATCATAGTATTAAGGAAAGTGTGCCACACTGTAGCACAGTCCAATTTATTTCTTGTCGCTCCAGTGCAAGTTACAAGTTAATAAAATGATGTACTCTAGATACTGACCACAACTGAAGCACTGGAAAAGTAAATCAAACATTGCAAAACCAAAGAGTATCCCTTTACCAGAAATATTCAACAGTGCACAGATGAGGTAGAACTACTCCATATAAAGGTAGCTACTGTACTGCATAGTAACTAAATCTATTTAACCTATGCATACATAAATCTTTATAAAATCATATCACTTACACTAAGATAAAAGTCTTCTGTTTCTTGTCTGTCAGCCTTCATTTTGATGAGCATAGACTCTGGTTGTTTGTTATCAGGGCGTGGCTCATCAATAAAATAGTGAGCACAGTCGTAGTCCCGTTGGTTGATCATCTCCATCAGCGTCTTTTCTGCTGTCTCTATAGTTTTCCAAGTTTCTTCAGATTCTGTTTTGAGGCTAGTGAGTCTGGAAACAAGGTGAGCATAACGTTTCTCCATCTCTTCTTGCACTTGTCGATTAACCACAACCTGGTTCACCTGGGTTGTAATGGAATCCTCATGAGTCTGGCACTGCAGCGTAACAGTGCCTGCCACATACTAGTCCATAGAGCGAATAAGAAAAAGAAGAGATAAAATAAAAAATACACAGTATCTAATCACAGTATAACAAAAAAACAGAGCCAACATGAGTAAAAACAATTAAATAATGTTTTTCTTATAAGAAAATGGAAAAAACAAACAAATTACTGGAAAGAACACAAGTGGTAAATACTGGAGAGTGTAGCCACACAATAAGGGATGTACATGGGAAGGCTACAAGATTTTTTTTTTTTTTTTCAACAAGTCGGCCGTCTCACACCGAGGCAGGGTGACCCAAAAAAGAAAGAAAATCCCCAAAAAGAAAATACTTTCATCATCATTCAACACTTTCACCACACTCACACATTATCACTGTTTTTGCAGAGGTGCTCAGAATAAAACAGCTTAGAAGCATACACATATAAAGATACACAACATTCCCTCCAAACTGCCAATATCCCAAACCCCTCCTTTGAAGTGCAGGCATTGTACTTCCCATTTCCAGGACTCAAGTCCGACAATATGAAAATAACCGGTTTCCCTGAATCCCTTCACTAAATATTACCCTGTAAAGTAAAAGGACACAAGTGCAACTAATGTGACATTTTATTGTGGCAACGTTTCGCTCTCCAGGAGCTTTATCAAGCCATTACAAACAATACATGGACACAGAGGGTATATAAAGGCACCTCACTCTGAGCCTTTATATACCCTCTGTGTCCGAGGGTATATAAAGGCTCAGAGTGAGGTGCCTTTATATACCCTCTGTGTCCATGTATTGTTTGTAATGGGTTGATAAAGCTCCTGGAGAGCAAAACATTGCCACAATAAAATGTCACATTACTTGCACTTGTGTCCTTTTACTTTACATATTGTCGGTAATTCTACCAACTTTATTACAAATATTACCCTGCTCACACTCCAACAAATCGTCAGGTCCCAAGTACCATTCGTCTCCATTCACTCCTATCTAACACGCTCACGTACGCTTGCTGGAAGTCCAAACCCCTTGCCCACAAAACCTCCTTTACCCCCTCTCTCCAACCCTTTCGAGGACGACCCCTACCCCGCCTTCCTTCCCCTATACATTTATATGCTTTCCATGTCATTCTACTTTGATCCATTCTCTCTAAATGACCAAACCACCTAAACAACCCCTCTTCTGCCCTCTGACTAATACTTTTATTAACTCCACACCTTTTCCTAATTTCCACTCTCGAATTTTCTGCATAATATTTACACCACACATTGCCCTTAAACAGGAGATCTCCACTGCCTCCAACCGTCTCCTCGCGGCTGCATTTACCACCCAAGCTTCACACCCATATAAGAGTGTTGGTACCACTATACTTTCATACATTCCCTTCTTTGCCTCAATAAATAACGTTTTTTGACTCCACATATACCTCAACGCACCACTCATCTTTTTTCCCTCATCAATTCCATGATTAACCTCATCCTTCATAAATCCATCCGCCGACACGTCAACTCCCAAGTATCTTAAAACATTCACTTCTTCCATACTCCTCCTCCCCAATTTGATATCCAATTTTTCTTTATCTAAAACATTTGATACCCTCATCACCTTACTCTTTTCTATGTTCACTTTCAACTTTCTACCTTTACACACATTCCCAAACTCATCCACTAACCTTTGCAATTTTTCTTTAGAATCTCCCATAAGCACAGTATCATCAGCAAAAAGTAACTGTGTCAATTCCCATTTTGAATTTGATTCCCCAAAATTTAATCCCACCCCATCTCCCGAACACCCTAGCATTTACTTCCTTTACAACCCCATCCATAAATATATTAAACAACCATGGTGACATTACACATCCCTGTCTAAGACCTACTTTTACCGGGAATAGTCTCCCTCTCTTCTAACACCCTAACCTGAGCCTCAACTATCCTCATAAAAACTCTTTACAGCATTTAATAACTTACCACCTATTCCATATACTTGCAACATCTGCCACATTTCCTCTATCCACTCTATCATATGCCTTTTCTAAATCCATAAATGCAATAAAAACTTCCCTACCTTTATCTAAATACTGTTCACATATATGCTTCAATGTAAACACTTGATCTACACATCCCCTACCCACTCTGAAACCTCCTTGCTCATCCGCAATCCTACAGTCTGTCTTACCTCTAATTCTTTCAATTATAACCCTACCGTACACTCTTCCTGGTATACTCAGTAAACTTATTCCTCTATAATTTTTACAGTCTCTTTTGTCCCCTTTCCCTTTATATAAAGGGACTATACATGCTCTCCGCCAATCCCTAGGTACCTTTCCTCTTTCATACATTTATTAAACAAAAGTACCAACCACTCCAACACTATATCCCCCCCTGCTTTTAACATTTCTGTCATGATCCCATCAGTTCCAGCTGCTTTACCCCCTTTCATTCTACGTAATGCCTCATGTACCTCCCCCACACTTACATTCTGCTCTTCTTCACTCCTAAAAGATGGTATACCTCCCTGACCAGTGCATGAAATTACTGCCTCTCTTTCTTCTTCAACATTTAAAAGTTCCTCAAAATATTCTCGCCATCTACCTAATACCTCCATCTCCCCATCTACTAACTCCCCTACTCTGTTTTTAACTGACAAATCCATACTTTCTTAACTTGTTTAACTCACTCCAAAATTTTTTCTTATTTTCATTAAAATTTCTTGACAGTGCCTCTCCCACTCTATCATCTGCTCTCCTTTTGCACTCTCTCACCACTCTCTTTACCTTTCTTTTACTCTCCATATACTCTGCTCTTCTTATAACACTTCTGCTTTGTAAAAACCTCTCATAAGCTACCTTCTCTTTTATCACACCCTTTACTTCATCATTCCACTAATCACTCCTCTTTCCTCCTGCCCCCACCCTCCTATAACCACAAACTTCTGCCCCACATTCTAATACTGTATTTTTAAAACTATTTCAACCCTCTTCAACCCCCCCACTACTCATCTTTGCACTAGCCCACCTTTCTGCCAATAGTCGCTTATATCTCACCAGAACTTCCTCCTCCCTTAGTTTATACACTTTCACCTCCCTCTTACTTGTTGTTGCCACCTTCCTCTTTTCCCATCTACCTCTTACTCTAACTGCAGCTACAACTAAATAATGATCCGATATATCAGTTGCCCCTCTATAAACATGTACATCCTGGAGCCTACCCATCAACCTTTTATCCACCAATACATAATCTAATAAACTACTTTGATTACGTGCTACATCATACCTTGTATATTTATTTATCCTCTTTTCATAAAATATGTATTACTTATTACCAAATCTCTTTCTACACATAGCTCAATTAAAGGCTCCCCATTTACATTTACCCCTGGCACCCCAAATTTACCTACTACTCCCTTCATAACATTTTTACCCACTTTAGCATTGAAATCCCCAACCACCATTACTCTCACACTTGATTCAAAACTCCCCATGCATTCACTCAACATTTCCCAAAATCTCTCTCTCTCCTCTACACTTCTCTCTTCTCCAGGTGCATACATGCTTATTATAACCCATTTTTCACATCCAATCTTTATTTTACTCCACATAATCCTTGAATTAATACATTAATACATTAATGAATTAATACTTTCGCAAAATTAATGGCAAGCAGTTCTAAAATTGGATTAATAGTAAAATGGAGAAATTAATGTTTTACAATAGTAAGGGCATCCCAAAGTATTGATACTGATATTATCGGCTAATCTTAACAGTATTAGTATTATTCCAAAATTGAGTACAGGTAGGACTTTACTAATCCAGCAATCAATTATCCGGTTCCATCAGTAATCTGGCACTAATTTCAGCTAGCATAATTTCAAATTTCATCATTATACTGACTCAGAAATTGTGCAGCAGAAAGCCAGTGGATGAGAAAGCAGTGATGAAAATGAGGAAGATGTAACAGAAAGTCTCTCTATTGATAGGTTAATTAAGTATATTCTAATCTTACCACTCTGTAATCTCTCAAACTCACTAATCCAGCACACTACAGGTCCCAATGATGCCAGATTAGTGATGGCTGACCTGTATAAGTATCTGTGGGTATCAGCTAATTGGGTAGTGGCTAATTCTGACAGTATCAGTATTAGCCTAAAACTGAGGATCGGTATTGCTAACAGCAAAAATTTTGGCATCATCCCATCCCTTGATAATATAAGTATAATGTAGATGTGACATTGTGCTGAGGACTGTGTGAGGCTAAAGTTTTCCACAGCTAGTCATGCTATACATCAACAGATTGTTAAAAAAAAGTATGGAGAGAGAAATACAGCCAGTTATATTTCAGATAAAAATTCTTTAATAATAATTTCAAATTACTGCATAGTTCTATTAAAATAAACTGTTTTGCAAGATATCTTAGTTTCTAAAAGGTGACCGTTTTGCCCTTCCCAACCAACTCTTCACTTTCTCACCTCATCTCCTTTGTGCCCTTGGAACTCAAATTTCTTAGGAAGCATGAAGGCTGCATTGTTGAATTCTAAGAATCTCTGCTTGTCTAAGCGAGAGTCAAGGTTGTTGATGGATTTGTTGAGATCATCCATACCACTTTGCAGGCTCCTTCGGAGGCACTCCTCCCCAGAGACATGAGTAAGTAGGGCTCTGGCTATACTGCTGTGAAATCCAAAGTCCATACACTGAAAAAGATTAAAACTTTTTTTTAACACACTAGCCGTCTCCCACCGAGGTAGGTCGACATGAAAAGGAAGAAACACTTTCACCACACCTCTCCTAAGGTACTCTATGTGCATATATTTTGGTGAACTGAGAATAAAGTTACTGCTGCTGAGTTTTCCCAATTCAATACTACAAGTAGGGACTCTCTTTTAATTCATTTACATTTTTAATGGGTACATTTCATATAACAATAGAAGCTTCCTCTCAAAAGGACATGCATAATAGTCATATTCTTCTAGGAAAAGCTTCACTGATAACTACATTATGTACTAAGGTAGTGTAATTTCCGATATGTTTTACAAAAAAATGCTTCTTGCTTTGCACATGGATGCTAAAATTTATAATTGCTTTAAACGGTATATTAACCTTCACATAGCTTGAGAATCTGCACTAAACAAGATGCAGGACTACCATGGTTAGAATTTATAACAGAATCAAATGTGACTTCGATTAAAAGACCCAGTGTAATAAGAGGATTACTTTAAAATATAATTCAGAAAATACTCACATCAACTATGTCAGAGAGGTCCTCCACAAAGTACTTATGGATGGCAGCATTAGCAGAATCCATAGAAAGAATATACTCATTACGAGCCTTCAGAGCTTTCAGCTTGGCATCCATGTACTTGTTACTCCTCTGCAAAATGGCAATAGCATGCCTAATGAGTTATCACTTTTTTTTGCACATACTACCAACATAGTGAAACCTACATAATAATTAGACAAAATATTTATATAACTATCCATCTACAGTAACCCTTCAAATTATTTGGACCTAAATTAGAAAAATCTGACAAATGGGATTTACCTGAGGATCTCCCAATAACATTTTCAAAAATCTGCGATTAATTCACATGTTTCTGGGAAGCACACAAACAATGGAAAACCAGTTTTAATTCATATTAAATACAGGCGTTCTTACAAATTCACGGGCTTCGTGGTTTGCACGTTTTCATTACCAAAATTTTTACTAGTGGCCAAACAGTGAATAGATTCAATCTAACATTTTTTTCTAACTTGATGGCTTTCCAACACCAAAATTTCTTCTTATTATTATCCTCATTTCTTAAGAATGTCAATAATAACCAGATTAGAGTGATGTTACAAGTACAAAATGAGTAAAACAAAAACCCAAATCTAAAATAAACTTATCATATTGATGGAATACAATACCAAGAGACTGATTAATATAGACTCAAGGCTGAGGGACTAATCACCTCAAAATTACTACTACTGCTGTTTCCAGTATGACATTCACCTGTATTCAATTGAAAAAGCCTGCTGTTTTGACAACAAAAATACTTATGTGCTGCACATGCCTTTTTTATCATTTTTTTTTTTAACACAGCCTGATACTATATCCAAGTCACCTTTCAATGCTTAATACTATCATCGTCATCAAAGTACTGCAAATTTAGTACGTGGTAATGTATACAATACGCAAATCCAGGAATTCTGGATCTGCCGGAGGCCTCTTTAGAGCATATACTTGTGAATCTGGGGAATTGCTAGTCTGCAAATCATATGAATTACCCCAGCATAAGCAGTTCATCATTTCTTCTACATCATCACTCTTACCCTATAGAAGATTTCCATAACCCATAATTCTTTCTTCTACTCATTAATTCCCTTTTTACACATTTTTATGTTACTTTCTGTCTCTTCTACATGCCTGTATGGTATTTATTACTGTTTCAGTTTTTTTGTTTTAAGTTTTCTTCCTTTGATTTCTTCCCTAAATTCAGCACATCACTTTAAAACACAAATAGCCTGTATAGAGGATATCATAAATATTTTTTTTATTATTAACACATCGGCCATTTGCCACCAAGGCAGGGTGGCCTGAAAAAGAAAAAACTTTCATCATTCATTCCATCACTGTCTTGCCAGAGGCATGCTTACACTACAGTTATAAAATTGCAACATTACCACCCCTCCTTCAGAGTGCTGGCACTGTACTTCTCATCTCCAGGACTCAAGTCCAGCCTGTTGGTTTCCCTGAATCCCTTCATAAATGTTACCTTGCTCACACTCAAATAGCACATCAAGTCCTAAAAACCACTTGTCTCCATTTACTCCAATCTAACACGCTCACACGTGATTGCTGGAAGTCCAAGCCCCTCGCACACAAAACCTCCTTTACCCCTTCCCTCCAACTTTTCCTAGGCCAACCAATACCCCGCCTTCCCTCCACCACAGATTTATACACTCTCCAAGTCATTTTATTTCGTTCCATCCTCTCTACATGTCCGAATCATCTCAGTAACCCCTCCTCAGCCCTCTGGATAATCGAGTTGGTAATCCCGCACCTCCTCCTAATCTCCAAACTATGGATTCTCTGCATTATATTCACACCACATATTCCCCTCAGACATGACATCTCCACTGCCTCCAGCCTTCTCCTTGTTGCAACATTCACCACCCATGCCTCACACCCATATATTCCCCTCTTTGCTTCCATGGACAAAGTTCTTTTTCTCCACAGATTTCTCAGTGCACCACTCGTCTTTTTCCCCTTGTCAATTCTATGATTCTCTTCATCTTTCATAGACCCATCTGCTGACATGTCCACTCCCAAATATCTGAATACATTCACCTCCATACTCTCTCCCTTCAATCTGATATCCAATCTTTCATTATCTAATTTTTTTGTTATCCTCGTCACCTTACTCCTTCCTATATTCACCTTTAATTTCCTTCTTTTACATACCCTACCAAACTCATCAACTTCTCTTCAGAATCTCCTGAAAGCAGAGTGTCATCAGCAAAGAGCAACTGTGACAACTCTCACTTTGTGTTAAATTCTCTATCTTTTAACCCCACACCTCTTGCCACCACCTGAGCATTTACTTCTCTTACAACTCCATCTATAAATATATTGAACCATGGTGACATCACACATCCCAGTCCAAGGCCTACTTTTACTGGGAAATTATCTCCCTCTCACCTACATACTCTAACCTGAGCCTCACTATCCTTGTAGAGACTCTTCACTGCTTTCAATATCCTACCTCCTATTCCATACATTTGTAACATCTGCCACATTGCCCCTCTACCCAAATCATACAACTTTTCCAAATCCATAAATGCCATAAAAACCTCTTTACCTATAACTAAATACTTTTTATCTATATGCTTCACTGGTCTACATATCCCCTACCCTTCCTAAAGCCTCCTTATTCATCTGCTATTCTGCTCTCCGTCTTAACTAGAAAATAAACTTTAACCACTCAGATTCTGTGTCAGTAATACAGCCAAAAACTTTTACTTTTACAAAACACAGTAGTGCTATCACAACTATATAGTATAGCAGAGTCCTTCACCCTTTCACTGTCCATCACACAGAACTGTTTTTGATGCCAAGGTCCGTCACATAGATCTACATCATGAGCTCATCTCACTCAGTTAAGATGTGAATGGCAAATTTTAGCACAGATGAAAAAATAGATCTGTGAGGTGAGTGTCTTGCCCCTCACAGTGCATGACGAGAAAAGCAAAGCTCTGACCTTGTGTTTAGTTTAAAATTGTGACTTGAAGGTGTTGTCTATGATGGTTTTTAAGGTTTTATTGGTTGTTTCCTTGTATAACTTGATAGAATGAAGACATACTACTGAAATAGAGATGAAATTGGCCTCAAAGTAATGAAAATGTTTGAGTTTTTTTGATATTCCTGAGGATGCATAAAGCCCCCCTACACCCCCCTGATCTACTTTTTGGATATTTACTAGGTCTGATTTAATTATTGGGATGCTGTAAACCATGACCAATCATTCCTGGCTATATTTTATTATCCAGGAAATAAGGTAAATCTTCAACTTTTTGTGTAATGAATTCAATGGAAGGCAAGTGTAACATAGGAGGCCAGTGGATTTAATTAATGAACAGAGCAAGTGTTTTAATGCCTGGATTGTCTAGTGTTTACTTTTGAACTGTTTTTAAATTGCATTTTTTTTAATTTTGTGTACAACTGGACAAATTACTGACTTCTGCACACTTTAGAGGATCGTTTTGATAGATGAATGGTCAGTTTCTTATGCTCAATTGATAGAACATAAGGCATATTAGCAAAATAGCTAAGAATTTGACAATTGAGCAATGGAATTTGCTTAAAATAGGACTCCCATTAGATGAAATTGCCAATGGGTAAATTGCACCAGGACTGCTAACCTTGTGCCTGCGTAATTCTGCAAGTTTACCATTAAATTTCATATTTTTGGTGTCTAACTTCAAAAAAAAAAGATTCTACCATTACAGAAGAAAAACAAATTTAAAATAAAGAGTTAAGTATCTTTCAAAACCTACTTTCTGAATCTCCTTTTCAATGACCCGGAACTTCTTGCTCTTCTCCAGTTTCTCCTTGGGAATGGCCTGCTCCAGTTTACTCCTCTGAGCTTCAAAATTACGCAGCTTTGTTTCCGCATTTTTGAACTCCGTCTGGTATGTGTGGTATGTGCGCATAGTAGTGTGCAACTCGTGTAGTACTTTAAGAAGCTCCTCATGACTCTCGTACCCAATTTCTCGACACTGAAAGGCAATAGTTCTAAATAGCAACAATAGAAAAAAATGGTACAGATATGATCAAGATAAAAATACAAAGTAGTCTCATTCTTTTCCATGGGCTCTAGGGTGACATACAGAACTTTACTATTATATCACTAGCAGACATAAAATATTCATTATTTCACCTGATTACAGAGCTTTCATTGTTCCCACTTAACCTCTGAAATTATTAAAATAAACTACCCCAAAAATTATTATTCCTAAGTTACTGAGAAAAACTTCCATAATTTAGGAATAAGGATTTTTGGGGTAGTTTATTTTCAGGAATTTAATTTGATTTCACTGTAATTAATGTTTAGTGTTGGCTCTCTATCATTTCAAGTGGTATCCAGATAAGAAACCTGAAAATTGCTGGAAATACTGAGTTATTAATAAAAGCAACATCAGCTAGCTGCTGCTGCTGCTTAATTTGATTTGCTTGTTTTTGGAGATCAGTACTGTTTAAGGGAGGAAAGTGAAGCTTATGTATGCGAAAGGGCTCAATCACGTGTATAATTTGCAAAGGTTTCAAAGGATCTTCACAAGCAATCCTCTGCATTCTTAATAAACCTATACTGAGTGACATATCGACTGTACGTATTCATATCATCACAATGTCATCTACTATCCTCCACCTTGCATTTATGTGTCCAGTCTACTTCCAAGTAATAAAGTTGGTAGAATTACCAACAACATGTAAAGTAAAAGGACACAAGTGCAACTAATGTGACATTTTTACTGTGGCAACATTGCCACAATAAAAATGTCACATTAGTTGCATTTGTGTCCTTTTACTTTACATAATTCCAAGTACGTATAGAATTCTCAGCTTTGTGACATTCTCCTCCCACCCCTCCCTTTATACAGATAAGAGAGAAACAGGAGCATAAATCAATGTTTAATTCTTATGAAAAAGGTACAAAACTAAAGTGCACAGCTTAAATTTCTGAATATAAAGTATGAACTACAATTATAGTATACAAATTACCCTTTTGTAAATTCTCTGAACGTCATCTTGAACTTGGGTAAATCTGGGAATGACATTGTTGAGGTAGACATCAGCCATGGCAGCCTGGTCCCGCGCATCTTTTCTGGTTTGGTTTACTAAGGAATTCCAACAACTGTACACACTAAACAAATGCAGCTGTTCACGTCTGAAAATGATTATCATCATCAGTGACACTAACAGAAGTGACAAAATAATACAAAGACATTTAAAAATGTTATAGTTTAGGTACTGAAAAATGCCCAAAGGATGTTACCAGGGGTCAGCATCCCCTTGGCCCCAGTCACAGACCAGGATCAAGGTCTGACCAACTAGGCTGTTACTGTCAGCCACAGTCTAATGTATGAATCAGTCTGGCTGATCAGGAATTTTCTCTCTTGAGGAAGGGTGCTGATGAGTTGGGAACCTCCAACACTCATTCAGTTCTCTCTCTCTCTTAATGTACTCATCCTGCTTCTACTTTTTGCACCTTCTGCCAGTCTCTTGGCATCATACAGCATGATTTCAGAGTTCATGTTTGGACCACTCCCTCCATAATTTTCCAGGCATCAATTACAATGTACCTTTCTCAGTTACATTCTAAGAAATACAGTTGAAAGAACTTCAAGTTTTCCCAGTAGTTCAGATGTTTGACAATGTACTCCGTTACTGTATATTTCCTCCACTCTTTTACAGCAGAGCAACTGAAACTTGTCCTTGTTAAACATTATATTGTTGTCTGGGGCCCACTGGAAGACTTGATTTATAACCACTTTCAGATCTGTTATCTTACATGGCCACCAACTTCTTCGAGTTTCTAGCGTCATCAGCAAAGGATGTTATGGTGCCTTGATTTACATCCTTGATGATGTGTGACACAAGACTAAGAAACAGAAGTGGGGTGAGGACTGTGCCATGAAGAACAGAGCTTTTCCCTGTGGTAGCCTCTGACTTCTGTCACTACCCTCTGGGTTCTGTTTGCTAAGAAGTTAAATATTCATCTGCCCACTTTTCAGCTATTCCTTTCGCACACATTTTGTGCTCTATCACACCACATAAGGTCTCACTGAACAATTTTGCAAAATCTGTATACACTACACTGGCACTTAGTTTGTCTTCCAGCATATCCAGGACCATGTCATAATGATCTAGCAGTAGTGAAAGTCAGGAACAGCCTGTCCTAAAGCCATGCTGCCCTGGACTGTGCAACTACTGTGATTCCATGAATGGCAATCTTGCTTCTAAGGACCTGCTCAAAGATTTTGATGTATAAAGTTAGCACTATGGGTCCATAGTATTTTGCAATTGTTTTACTTTCCCCTTTGTGAAGTGGGCAGTATTATTAAATTTTAATGTTTAATGACTGTGGGATGGCACCTATGTCCAGGATACTCCTCCATAAAATAGTAAAGGCCCAACATTACTTGCCAAGAACTAACAAGAAACCTATTTGTGCTCAATAAGACCAAGGTCCAACCCCTCCCCCCCCCCCTGAAATAACTTTAAAGAATGTGAAAGCAAATACATGTATACTGGGGGTACAGTATTGTATGTAGTGTTTAAGTCCAATAATATAGCAGATGACCAAGAGAGAACAGTAGTGTGAGCATGATACAATACACAATTCTGAATGAGAGGTGCACTCCCATTATCATTCCTAGTTCTACTTGAATGAGCCAGGCAAATTGATGTAGCACCTTTAATGCAACATTAAGCTCAATAAAGGCTATTTAATTACTATGCATCATTTTGAATGTTACATTATATGAACACAAGCATACAATAAAACATATGGTATCTCTGTTGCCTGTCAAGTTATACTAATGAAAACAGACGATAATTTTTATGCAAGTCAACGAAAGTGCAAGTCTAAACAAATCTCTAACAAATCTTAAACTAATGTTCAAGAAATTTAAACTCCTCTATTATGGAAAAAATAAACATTTAAAGTTGAACTGGCGGTAAAACAATTCATGCGAAATAAGACACTACAGGAAAAAAATCGAGTGTGATCATTTTAGAAAAAATACCACTGCCAGAAAGATGATACAAGTGATAACAAAATGCTATGTCACTAAGGAAAGCAACCAATTGCTTTGCTCTTCTGTATCTTGTACACTCACTACTCACATTCATTAAAATACCTCCTGCGTGATCCTTTGTAAAGAAAATTCATCACAAGAGAATTAATAAGGTGCAACTCGAACTTCTCTCAATGTACAAACACTATTTTACAGAGCACTAGAGGCCAATTAAGATTTTCAAAGAGAATGCCATGCAATCTGTCTGGCACCACTTGGGCCAAGGGCCCAAAATTTCCCCTCTATAACATGATCATCATTCATGCTGTCTCATATTTGGATTCCATTACCGTTATGACCATTACACCTTCTATTCTCTGCAAACATCCATGACACCCAAAAGTATTGTTGGTTATGCTAAAGGTGGGAGGAAGATTAAGCCTTAATCTATGACAATGCAGAAGAAATTACAAGAGTTGGATAACCTCAAAGAGATGCAAGCGTGATGCAAGTGGTGTCAAAAAATCCACAAATTAAAAGAATAGGCAATCTATATGAGATTGTGTATCAAGTACGTACTTCAGAGAGTGACATTTTTGAAAGAATGTGCCGGCCTGTATAACTTAATAAAACCAAAGAGCTGCCTGCACTCTATTTTATGCATCATGATCATGTTGGATCTTAGGTGTAACAACTGCCCATAACAAATATGACATCAAATCAAAAAAACATAATCAATCAAGGGCACCTGTAAGTTCACAAGGACTGTTCAATTCTTACTTTGCCTTTTGTTCTTTGTGCCTGGCTTGGAGGGACTTTGCCAACTTGTCAAGCTTTGTAGCATAATCCTGATGCAGCTCAGCACGACGTCGAAACCAGTCCTGTAGTTCATTCACCAGCGCAGTCTGTGTATCCACACGACCATCCAGTGCTCGCAGCTGCTCGTTCAGCTGCGAACGCAACTCTGAAACACAATACAAAACTTGTTACAAAACTGCCTAAATAGGGAGCTAATACTGTATAAATAAATAACCAGAGCTAAACCCCCCTCCCATACTCTTTAACAATACAGATGAAAAATTATACAGCACTACACTGTTTTACTTTTAATACTGTATGTATGAACACTATACATACACATTTAATGGCAATAGTTTGTTGGACTATGTACTGGTGGATAAAAGATTGATGGGTAGACTTCTGATGTGCATGTTTATAAAAGAGCAACAGATATGTTTTTCTTTCTTTATATATATCAGATCATTACTTAGTTTTGTAGCCACATTAAGAGTAAGAGGTAGATGGAGCAGAAGGAAAATGGCATCTGCAAGTAAGACAAATGTGAAAGCTTATAAACAAAAGGAGGAGGTAGTCGAGGTAAGATAAAAGCAACTTCTGGGAGAAAAATGGGCTACTGAGTGAATAGGTAATGAAGTGGTTGAAGAGGTACATATGAGGAAAATTTAAGAATGCAGTGTTAGTGTGTGCAGTAAAAGTTAATAGGTTGAGAAAGCCTAGGGAACAAACGGATTTGACAGTTAAAAACAGAAGAGGGGAGTTTTTACACAGGGTGTTAGAGGCATTTGGAAGATGGAGGGAATATTTTGAGGAGCTGTTAAATGTGAATGAATAAAGGGAGACAGTGATTTTAAGCACTAGAAGTGAGGAAGGGCCAGATATAAGTTGTGGTGGTGCATGAGGCAGCGTGTAAAATGAATGGGGGTAGAGCAGCCAGAATTGATGGGATCAAGACAAAAATGTTAAAAGCAAGTGAGGATATAGTTTTGGAAGATACCTTGGGATTAGAAGACAGCATGCATATTTTCACTGTATAAAGGAGAGGGGGACAATAGTGTAAAAATTGTAGGGAATTAAACCTGTTGAGTAATAGGTAGTAAGTTGGTAGATAGCAACCACCCAAGGAGGTGCTACCGTCCTGCCAAGTGAGTGTAAAATGAAAGCCTGTAATTGTTTTACATGATGGTAGGATTACTGGTGTCTTTTTTTTTGTCTCAAACATGCAAAATTTCAGGAACGTCTTGCTACTTCTACTTAAATTTAGGTCACACTACACATGCATGTACAAGCATATATATATACACACACCCTTCTGGTTTTCTTCTATTTTCCTTACTAGTTCTTGTTCTTGTTTATTCCCACTTATCTCCATGGGGAAGTGGAACAGAATTCTTCCTCTGTAAACAAAGCAAGTTGTAAGAGGCGACTGTATACAGTGGAACCTCAGTTTTCGTCTTTAATTCATTCCAGAGTGTCTGACGAAAACCAAATTCAACAAGGACTGAAGCAATATTCCCTTAAGAAATAATGTAAATCCAATTAATCCATTCCAGACACCCAAAAATATATAAAAAAAATGCACTAATAAAATGGATAAATGAACATTTATATCACTTTTACCTTTACTGAAGATTTGTTGGTGCATGGAAGACGGCGAGGAGGGGAGAAGGAGGAGAGGTTATCTCTACCACCATCACTACCACCCTCTACCACAATAACTACCACCCTCTACCACAATCACTACCATGCTCTACCACAAACACTACCACCATCACAACCACTACCACCCTCTACCACCATTAAATTCTATCATGTTTCTCACCTTCTTTATCAAAGGGCTGGCACTCAAAACTTCTTTGGCCCCATGGTGGCTTATTTAGCAGTCGCACTCAATAAACAAGCACAAAAAACAATAGATTATTACGAAATGTTTCGTAATAATCCTACTCTCCTTACACCTTTCTGCTTTGTATTGGACTGATGAAGCCACTGTGTGGCAAAACGTGTCCTCAATAAAGATTCCCATATGTTGCAAAAGTGTCTCAATCTTCAACTTGTCAGTTTTAAACCATTTATCACATCTGTCATAAGGTTCAGCAGCTGCGACAGGCATGATCGCCCTGCTCTAAAACCATGCTGGTTCGGGTTATGCTGGTTGTGCTGGTCCACAAAATTTGTAATCTGTCGTCTCGTCACTCTTTCGAAGATTTTCACAATGTGAGAAGTTAGGGTAGAGATATGCTTCTGGCAAGACGGTAATAGTGATGATATACCTTATACCTTTGAAGTGTTTTGAGAGTTTATCTACTCTCTGAGCCCGGCTATGGGCCAGGCTCATCGGGTGCTTGCTTGGTCAACCAGGCTGTTGCTGCTGGAGGCCTGCTGCCCCACATATCCATCACAGCCTGGTTGATCTGGCACCTGGTAAAGATACTTGTCCAATTTCCTCTTGAAGGCTTCTACACTTGTTCCAGCAGTGTTTCTGATATCTTCTGATAAGATGTTGAAAAGTCTGGGGTCCCGGATGTTGATACAGTGTTTCCTTATTGTTCTCATCGCACCCCTGCTCCTCACTGGGTTTATTTTACACTTCCTCCCATATCCCTCACTCCAGTATGTTGTTATGGCAGTGTGCAGATTTGGGACCAAGCCCTCGAGTACCTTCCAGGTATATATTATCATGTACCTCTCTCTCCTCCACTCCAATGAGTACATGTTCAAGACTTGCAGGCATTCCCAGTAGTTTAGGTGCTTTACTGGCTCAATGTGAGCCGTAAACAATCTCTGTATTTGTTCCAGCTCTGATATTTCTCCTGCCTTGAACGGGGCCCTCAGCACTGAGCAATATTCTAAGTGAAGGAGCACTAGCGATTTGAATAGTGTCGCCATCGGCATTATTTCCCTCGTTTTGAAAGTTCTCAATACCCACCCAGTCATCTTCCTGGCTGTCATGATCTTTGTCTTGTTATGGTCTTTAAAAGAAAGGTCCGCTGACATAATTATTCCTAGGTCTTTTACGTGTTCCTTACGTTCTATCTGGTGACCCTCTTGAGTTTTGTAAATAGTGTTCCTTTTGCGTTTTTCATTCTTTCCATACCTAAGCAGCTGGAACTTATCACCACTGAACGCCATATTGTTCTCCACTGCCCACAAGGAAACCCTGTTTATGTCTTCCTGTACTTTTTCAGTGTCCTCTACTGTACTGACTTTCATGCTTATTTTAGTGTCATCTGCAAATGATGATAAAAAAGTGTGCCGGGTGTTTTTGTCTATGTCTGCTATGAGGATGAGGAACAGCAGAGGTGCCAGGACAGTGCCTTGGGGCACTGAGCTTTTGACCTTGCTGATGCTGGATCTTGCCTTTTCACTACTACTTTTTGTGTTCTGTGTGTTAGGAAACCGAAAATCCACCTACCTACCTTCCCCGTAATACCCATGGCCTTCATTTTGTGCGCTATCACTCCATGATCGCATTTGTCAAACGCCTTCACAAAATCTGTGTAAATCACATCTACGTTTTGGTCGTCTTCTAGTGCCTCTGTAATTCTGACATAATGGTTCAGCAGCTGTGATTCGTCTTTTTCAGGTCACCCTGCCTCGGTGGGAAACGGCCGATGTGTTAAAAATAAATAAATAAATCATAGCACCTAACATCCTTTGCTAACGACACCAAAATCTCAAGAGTGGCATCTGTCTTAGACAACGAATCTTCAGGCAGATATAAATCAAATCTTCTAGTTGGCCTCAGACAATAGTGTGCTTAACAATGGCAAGTTTCAACTGCTCTGCTATAAAATAATATAAGAAATAAAGACAGTCACGAAGTAGAAGACAAATTCAAATCATTCAATAGTGTGAAAAATCCATGTGCTAGACTTTTGATGTTATGAAGTTTGAAAATCCCACATTCAAGGATCAGAACAATCTCGCCATTGCTACCGCAAGGATAACTTGAGGTTTTAAGACAAGAGATGCTGAGCCAATACTGATACTCTTCAAGTCACGTGACCCCCAGAAACAGGTTATCCTTCAGGAGGGTACCGAGTGCAACACCCTTCTAATCAGAAGAAATCTCAGATCCCCCCGTCAAAATCCAGCAGCTCAATTTGGGAGTCATTAGGTAATATACGTCTATCCTGCCCTTAGTCTAATCAACACTTAGTACCGAGTCATGTTACGCGTGGTCGAATGTAAACGAAGACTCCCCAGTACTGATTTTATTTTTCTGGGTTTACAGGGTACCTAACAGCTCATACAGTATCGAGCCCTGCCTCGGTGTCCAAAGAAGAATGGTGGCGTAAGGTCAAGTTACGCTGCATTGGGTTAGGCAGGGTTCATTAGGTTAGATTACTTTTTTATTACCATTTGCGCAACAAATTAATATTCTACTCAATTCAAACTATAAATAATGGCCGAAATCTGCTCAGTCGTATACTTTTACCGGTATCTGCACAATGTGATCTTTCTAGTGCTGCTGCTAAAACAATAGTACACAGAGAGGAAAGAAAAAAAAAAAAAAAGATCCTCCACAAACAGCTACAACTTGACCTGGATTACCTTCAACTCACACGACTGAACACTAACCATGGAGCCAATCAAAATATTTATTTATTTGACCACAGTATAAAATATTGCACATGGAAAACTGGGCCACCAGCGATCATCCCAATGTGCCGCTGGATTCTGCCAATAATTTCAGCGATTACAATTGTCTTACATAACAAAAAACGCTAAAGACAGACTAATTAACTAACGATGGTATGGTAGTACTGTCATTGCTTTCTTACAATTAAAGTATAAAACCATTCTGTAATAATCAATTATCTAAACCATGTACACGAGAAAGGCAACAGATCCCATGATTCACATGTACTAAGAATTACAGTCTAGCTTTCTCAATTTCTGTCTACTCCTCAAGGAAGGTTTCTTGACGCTGGTGAGGGGCCCTTGATCTGGGGAATTGGATCTGTTTTCCAGTTCCTAGAATTGAGTCTGAATACCTTCTATCCCCCTCCCACAGATGTATAATACCTATGGGTTTAGCGCTCCCCTATAATACTACTACTAATAATAATAATTTATCTAGATAGTTCCGTATAACCCTTTGAGGGCTTATTACTTGTTTTTATACCTTTGACGAATTTTGAAAGCTTTCCTACTCCTGTA